ATAAGGAAGAAGAGGAGGAGGAAGAAGAAGAAGGGGAAGGGGAAGGGGAGAAGAGAAAATAATAGAGTAGAATAGAATAGAATAAGGAAGAAGAGGAGGAGGAGGAGGAGGAAGAAGAAGGGGGGAAGGGGAAGGGGAGAAGAGAAAATAACAGAATAGAATAGAATAGAATCAGGAAGAAGAGGAGGAGGAAGAAGAAGAAGAAAAGAAGAAGGGGGGAAGGGGGAGAAGAGAAAATAAGAAAAAATAGAATAGAATAGAATAGAATAGAATAGAATAGAATAGAATAGAATAACAGGAGTTGGAAGGGACCTTGGAGGTCTTCTAGTCCAACTCCTTACTTAGGCAGGAAACCCTACACCACTTCAGACAAATGGTTATCCAACATCATCTTAAAAACTTCCAGTGTTGGAGCATTCGGAACTTCTGGAGGCAAGTAGTTCCACTGATTAATTATTCTCACTGTCAGGAAATTTCTCCTTAGTTCCAGGTGGCCTTACATAAAGCATTAACCAGGAAGTTCCACTTATGATCTGTGGTTGGGGAGGGGGCGTTTACACATAAACCAGCTTGTTTTTATTTCATTTCAACATTAAATCCAAGAACTCCCGCCCACCCATGCGTGACACATGACACATTCGCAGCAGGGACGATTAAAAATAAATCCCGCAGACTCAACTGTGTCTGGGAGGGGGGGCAGGTTATTTCGAAATCCCACAATTTGGTGAAGAAAAGCATTGTGGAAAGTAGTAATATCGGGGACCCTCCATGGCTGGAAATCAAGACAACCTCGTATTATATTACCTGGCTGAAAGCGAGTGGATAGATAGCAACCCCATCCAAGTGCCTAAAGGGCTACCTGAGATCAAAATAATATTTTTTTTTAAATTGCATCACTTCCAATTAATTGGATTACACAATTAACTGAACTTCAGAGTTTGCAGAAAGCACTCAGATTCCCCCCGCGAGTCTAAACCCCAAACCCAGCCAGGATTTTAGCCCTCCCCACTCCGCCTTTCATTAACCTGGTTTAAATGCCTGTAAGCCCGTCTCAGCTTAACCTACCTCGCAGGGTGGTTGTTACCCAAGGTGGTAGGGGGTGGGAGAAAAATGAGACCTCGCAGGGTTACGCGCAAGCCCCTCGGACGCGTGCGAGGTCGATCAGGAAAACCCAATAGATCCAACCGTTAGGAAGAGAGAGAGAGAGATCGCTTCCGATCCAAGATCAGAAGCGCGGTGGAAGGGGTCGAAAGCGCGCGGGGATGGATGGATGGATGGATGGATGGAGCCCACCGGGGAAAGCGACCAGGCGAGGCTTGCTGAGCTTCCGAGGATCCCACGAGGCTGCGCCGGAGACTGGATCCAGCAGGGGCTCGACTCGATCTCCTTGGAGGTGGTGATGGGGGGGAGGTCCATTCCTATTCAATTCAAACCTGTGTACTATGATAGAGGCTCTAACCTTGGCAACTGTAAGACTTGTGGACTTCAACTCCCAGTGGAACTCTGGGAGTTGAAGTCCACAAGTCTTAAAGTTGCCAAGGTTAGAGACCCTGTACTATGAGATTGGCTGAGCCTCCCTTCCTGCACCACTGCCCCAAACACACAATACAAAGCTGGCTGAGGAACTCTGGGAGCTGAAGTCCACAAGTCTTACAGTTCCCATGGTTAGAGACCCTGTACTATGAGATTGGCTGAGCCTCCCTTCCTGCACCACTGCCCCCAAACACACAATACAAAGCTGGCTGAGGAACTCTGGGAGCTGAAGTCCACAAGTCTTACAGTTCCCATGGTTAGAGACCCTGTACTATGAGATTGGCTGAGCCTCCCTTCCTGCACCACTGCCCCCATACACACAATACAAAGCTGGCTGAGGAACTCTGGGAGCTGAAGTCCACAAGTCTTACACTTGCCATGGTTAGAGACCCCTGTACTATGAGATTGGCTGAGCCTCCCTTCCTGCACCACTGCCCCCATACACACAATACAAAGCTGGCTGAGGAACTCTGGGAGTTGAAGTCCACAAGTCTTACAGTTGCCAAGGTTAGAGACCCTGTACTATGAGATTGGCTGAGCCTCCCTTCCTGCACCACCAACCCCAATACACACAATACAACTCACAGTGAAAGACACCCCCCACCCAAAAAAAAAAAATCCCTATCCCAGTGAATCCTGCTAACAAACCCCCAATCCTATTGCACCACGTGTGAACTGATCCCACGTGGCGTCGGTCCCCGCGTGTCCCAATCGTACTATATATTGTGGTAAAGTGATTTCCCATCCAGCATTTCCCTGACAGCCCAGGGATAAAAAAAAAAAAAACTCTCCTTCAGCCTGTTGTTTGTGCGGCTTCTCTAGTTCCTTTCCCGGTGGCAGGAAAATGAAGCTGGTCTGATCCGGGTGGGAGTCCCCTAAGTATTCCCCTCACTCTTCTAAGGCAGAGCCTTAGCTCGTACCAGCCTGCAATGCGCTTTCTATGATGGCCAGTGGGCGTTGCGGGGGTGGGCGTGCACGGCGATATAAGATCCAGGACCGGGCAGCGATGAAGCAGGACCAGCAACCGAGGCGGCGCTTGAAAGGTAACCGCCGTAGAGGGGAGGGGAAGGTAGCAAAGGGCTGGATCCCGGGCTGCTCTCAAACCAGAGGCAACGGGAGACGGCCGGGCGTTGTGCCAATCCGAATCCCGGGGAGGAGAAAACTCTACCATCTGCTTCCCACCCACCACCCACCCTTATCGGACGCCAAAAAGTTTTCTAAGATAACTTTTTAGGACATGATGGTTATGGTTGTAACCTGTCAGAGATTCCCCCCCCCCCCAATAGAGCAGGAATTGGGTAACTAAGAGGGGAAGGATGAAAGGCAGAAAAAAGTAGAGAAAGAACAAAGCCCCAAGTGCAGAAAGGAAGAAGAAGAAAAAAAAAGAAACGAGTTTTGGGGTTCTTCTACAAAATTTAGTTCTACTTTAAAGTAGCCCCTTCTTCTAAGGTTACAAGCTGAACTTTTATTTTTTTCTGTGAGCTGCTATTTTAATGTATGTATGAATGTATATATATGTGTGTGTGTGTGTGTGTGTGTATACTGCTCAAAAAAATAAAGGGAACACAAGCAGAAGACACCCAAGATCTGAATGAATGAAATAGCCTTATTAAATACTTTGTTCTTTACATAACAGTAGTTTATACACTGCTCAAACAACTAAAGGGAACACAAAACTACTGTATGTAATGAACAAAGTATTTAATAAGGCTATTTCATTCATTCAGATCTCGGATGTCTTTTGCTTGTGTTCCCTTCATTTTTTTTGAGCAGTGTATATATATATATGTATGTGTGTGTGTATGTATGTATATATGTATATATATATATATATATATATATATATATATATATATATATATATATATATATATATATATATATATATATATTTGTATTTGTATTTATGTATGTATATATTGTGTTTGTATATGCGTGTGTATAATCTGTAATCTGTAATATAATAGGATATAGAATCTAATACATGATATACACTGCTCAAAAAAATAAACACAAGCAGAAGACATCCAAGATCTGAATGAATGAAATAGCCTTATTAAATACTTTGTTCGTTACATACAGTAGTTTTGTGTTCCCTTTAGTTGTTTGAGCAGTGTATAAACTACTGTTATGTAAAGAACAAAGTATTTAATAAGGCTATTTCATTCATTCAGATCTCGGGTGACTTCTGCTTGTGTTCCCTTTATTTTTTTGAGCAGTATATATTATATAATGTATATCTATCCATCCATCCATTCTTATCTATCTATCTATCTATCTATCTATCTATCTATCTATACATACATACATACATACATACATACATACATACATACATACATACACACACAATCAGAATCCCATTTTTTCCCCACCTCATGCAAAATGTCCTAAAGGGCTTTCCAATGTTAAAAAATAATTGATAATCTTTCATCAATAGGGTAATTATAATCAAAATAACCAATCATAGGGTTTCCTGCCTGATCAGGAGATTGGACTAGAAGACCTCCAATGTCCCATCCAACTGTGTTAATCTGTTATTTTGTTTTCTCTACGGATGCCTTTTGGGCATCTCAGCCAGATCTACCCTCTTCTGGATCCCCTCTTCTATTCCACCCACCTTCCCCTCCATGCCTTGACTTTGATGCCTCCCCCAAACCCTCCCGAGGTTGCCAGGGAACTCTTTTGATTTGCAGCCCACTAGAAGGTTGAAGTGATCCTCAGAGATGAGAAGGGGAGAAGAAATCTGAAAGAAGGAAGGCCCTTTTCCAGCTAACCAACATGGTTGAAAAATTTAGCCAGACGCACTTCAGTTCTTGAGATGGATGAGGTAGCTAGGATGATGGATTTAAATGGAGATGAGATAGGGGGAGAGAAATAGAAATAGAAATAGAAATAGAAATAGAAATAGAATAGAAATAGAAATACTGAGCCACCAGGGGCTGGTGGCTCAGCAGACTGATAGCATTGTGATTAACACCAGCTGTCTGCAATTACTGTAAATTTGAATCTCACCAGGCTCAAGGTTGACTCAGCCTTCCATCCTTTCTAAGGTAGGTAAATTGAGGACCCAGTTTGTGGGGGCAATAAGCTGACTTTGTATAAATATACAAAAGTATGAAGGTTATTGCTTAATGCATTGTAAGCCACCCGGAGTCTCTGGAGAAGGGTGGCATATAAATCAATTTTTTTAAAAAAAATAGAAATAGAAATAGAAATAGAATAGTTGGAAGGGACCTTGGAGATCTTCTAGTCCAACCCCCTGCTCAGGCAGGAAACCCTATACCATTTCAGGCAAATGGTTGTCCAATCTCTTCTTAAAACCTCCAGTGTTGGAGCATCCACAACTTCTGGTGGCAAGCTGTTCCACTGGTTAATTGTCCTCACTGTCAGGAAGTTTCTCCTTAGTTCTAAGTTGCTTCTCTCCTTGATGAGTTTCCACCCATTGCTTCTTGTCTTGCTCTCAGGTGCTTTGGAGAAGAGCTTGACTTCCTCTTCCTTGTGGCAGCCCCTGAGATACTGGAAGGCTGCTATCGTGTCACCCCTCGTGCTGCTTTTCATTAAACAAGGAAGGAAGGAGAAGAGGTGAGGATGATGCAGACCTGAATGAATGTGGGAGTCAGATGACAAGGATCATTATGAACAGAAACTGATATTTCTTACTTGCAAGTTGTTTCAATTCTGTTTCTTAAGCTAGGCTTTTATGTGTGTCATTATGTGGATTTTTTTTTTATGTCATTGGTAACTGCCCATAGCCACTTAGGTGAGAGGAGCAGAGTAGAGATTTACCAAATAAATTCAGTCAATGAAAAGTACATTTGATGGACCCCAATTTTCAATCCAATAGTTTCCCCCAGGAGAAAAAAAAAAGAGGTTTGTGGGTTGGTTAATTTCTTGCAGATGTTTCATGGTCCAACTAGGTAACATCATCAGTGCTGGAAATGAGGGAGGTTTGCAGAGAGAAAGAGGAGGAGGAGGAGGAGGACTGTAGGGTCCTTGATGCTCTCTAGGCTTAGTTGTTTCTTGTAGATGTTTCATGACCCAACTAGCTAACATCATCAGTGCTACAAGAGAGAGGGGTTTTTTTGTTTCTTTTTAATTTGATTTATATGCCGCCCTTCTCCGAAGACTCAGGGCGGCTTACAATGTGCTCAGCAATAGCCTTCATCCTTTTGTATATTTTATACAAAGTCAGCTTATTGCCCCCACAAACTGGGTCCTCAATTTACCTACCTTAGAAAGGATGGAAGGCTGAGTCAACCTTGAGCCTTGGCGAGATTCGAACCCTGCAGTAATTGCAGGCAGCTGGTCTTAATAACCAGCTTAATAACAGGGTGCCTTAAACCCCTGTACTACCAAGGCTCTGCTACCAAGGGTTTGCTCTCTTGTTTATATACCAGTGGCTTGAATTGTCAATTTTGGAGGGAAACTGTCAAGGAACTACAGTACCAACTCAGACAAACAACCAAACAGTAAACGACAGCCTAATCAAGAAACTCCCAGCAACCGACAGGGCAAGCTATTTGAATATAAACAGAGAGCACACCCCACTCCCTTCTAGCACAGATAATGTTACCTAGTTGGGTCACGAAACGCCTGCAAGAAAAAACAAACAAACTCAGAGAGTACCAAGGACCTTACCATTCAAGGTTTAAATGGGTGCTTTTTTTAAACTCGAGGGCTGCTGCCTGCCTCTTGAATTTTCAACTACAAGAAAAATCAGGAATCTGAGTCCTTCCTTTGTTCATTGGCATAGAGTTGTTTTGAGGAAAAAATGCATAGGGAAAAGAGAAACAGAAAAGGGGAAATACATGTGGGGTCCTTGGTGCTCTCTGAGCTTGGTGGTTCATGCACTGATAATGTTACCTAGTTGGGTCATGAAACGTCTCCGAGAAAAACAGCCAAGCTCAGAGAGCCCCAAGGAACCCTCATTTCAACCTGAACTACAAATATTCTTTTCTGTCGGAAATAAATGTTCTAACTAAATAAACCTCTTGGATTATCTCTCTTTTCATTGTGGCAATACTAATGATATGATTTACATGTATATGATATATAGAGAAGGCTGGTATTACTGAGAGGCTGATTAAAATCAGAAGAGTCCAGGAATACCTTCTCCTGCCTTCCATTGAAGACCTGTATATTTACTTTATTTATTTATTTTTATTTGATTTATATGCCGCCCTTCTCCGGAGACTCAGGGCGGCTTCCAATGCGTTAAGCAATAACCTTCATACTTTTGTATATTTATACAAAGTCAGCTTATTGCCCCCACAAACTGGGTCCTCATTTTACCTACCTTAGAAAGGATGGAAGGCTGAGTCAACCTTGAACCTGGTGAGATTCAAATTTACAGTAATTGCAGACAGCTGATGTTAATAACAGTGCTTTAGTGTGCTGTGCCACCAGGGCTTTGGGGCAGAAGGAGGGCTGAGAAAATATCTACAGACCTCTCACATCCTGGACATAAACTGTTCCTCACAGTTAAAACAATTAATCAGTGGAATGGAAGTTGCCTCCAGAAGCTGTGGGTGCTCCATCACTGGAGGTTTTTAATAAGAGACTGGACAGCCATTTGTCTGAAACGGTATAGGGTTCCGGCTTCAGCGGGGGGTTGGACTAGAGGACCTCCAAGGTCCCTCCCAACCTTGTTATTCTGTTATTGCATGCAAAAAACAAGCAGACACAGGGACAGTTTTTTCCCTCCTGGCATCACACTGCTGAACACCTAATCTTCACAGCATTGTTTTATGTCTCAGTATATTTATCCATGTTGTGTGGCTGCAGTATTACTATTAGAACCGTGGTGGGACAGTGGTTAGAATGCAGCATTGCAGGCTAATTCTGTCAACTGACCAGCTTCCATCCTTCTGAAGTTGTTAAATTAAGGACCCAGATGGTTGGGGGCCCATAGGCTGACTCTAAACCAGTTAGAGAGGGCTGTGAAGCACCGCAAAGCGGTATCTAAGTCTACGTGTTATTGCTATTATCCTTCTCATCTTCTCTACCACCTGTCTTATTGGTACCGTTATTGTGGTTATTACTGCTCTGTTGTTTTGCATGTACACTGAGAGCTTCTGCACCAGAGACCAACGCCTTGTGTGTCTAACCAATTTCGTTGTATACATGATGTACAATGACAATAAAGGCTATACTAATCACACTTGGCCAAATAAAGAGTTCTGCTCTGTTCTACATATTCTGTTTTATTATATTCCCTTTTCTGTTCTGTTCTGTTCTGTTCTGTTCTGTTCTGTTCTATTCTGTTCTATTCTATTCTATTCTATTCTATTCTATTCTATTCTATTCTATTCTATTCTATTCTATCCTATCCTATCCTATCCTATCCTATCCTATTCTATTCTACTATATACTATATACTCTATTCCCTGATCTGTTCCTTCTTTCCTTTCCTTTTTAACTTTCCTTTCCTTTCCCTTTCCCTTTCCCTTTCCTTTCCTTTCCACTCTTCTCCTCTCCTCTCCTCTCCCCTTCCACCTCACCTCACCCACCCTACTCCACATCTCTCCCCTCCCCTTCCAACTCACCCCCCTCCCCTCCCCTCCCACTCCACTCCATTCATTTCCTCAGATGGGCAGAGTAGCTCACCCGATGTGAGGGGGAAGAGAGGGAAGTGCGGAGTGGTTTTGCTGATGGAAGACCGATGACCTCATGAGCCATTTCATATGTTCAGAACAGGCTGTTCTTGTGGAGAGCTTCCGAGACAGCCTAAAACCTTTGGATGAATGCAGATTCCACCATTTCTCGCTCAATGGTGCTGCAAAAGTCCAAAGTGCTCACCCGTGGAAAGAACAGCCTCTTCCCTCTCTCTTGGGCTCCCTTCCACCTGATTTAAATCCTGCATATCAGCCAAGCCGTTTTACAGATGCAGCTCATGAAACCTTTGGCCTTTGAACCACAGGGAGTCTTCCACTTACAACCATTCGTTTAGTGACGGTTCGAAATCTTAACGTCACTGAAAAAAGCGACTTGTGACCATTTTTCACACTTATAACATTTGCAGCATCCCCACGGTCAGGTGATCAAAATTCAGACACTTGGCAACTGCCTCGTATTTATGACAGTTGCAGTGTCCCGGGTTCATGTGATCCCTTTTGCGACCTTCTGACCACAAATCCAGTGGGGGAAGCCAGATAACAATCGTGCTACTAACTTAAGAGCCGCAGTGATTCGCTAAACGACAGTGGCAAGGAAGGTTGCGAAACGGGGTAAAACCTATTTAACAACTGTCTCGCTTAGCAGCAGAAACTTGAGGGTGGGTCAATTCTGGGTTGTAAGTAGAGGACCACCTCTAGTTGGGGGAAAGATGCTTCTAAATTCCTGGGGATTTTTTTTTTGCTCCTCTCGCAGTGTTTACTATGATTGTGGTTTGTGGCAAATTCAGGTTTAGACTGGATCTGGGGTTTTTCTCTACCTATTGAATTCTTTCCAAAGATCTGGGATAGGCCGAGGTGGTTGTTCAGAGGTGTTGAAGGTGTCGCAGGCTGTTGGGCAGATGGAAACACCAACACCTGTGTTCTGACCCAGCTCCCCAAACACGACAAACCCTCTATATTTAAATCAATGATTCCTTTATTATGAGCACCAGCATCCCCGGCAAAGTTTCTCTCTCACCACAGGCTAACAAATCCAGCCGGCCAGGAGATAAATAGTTGACTGCCACACCTATTCATCTCCGCCCCCTGCCTTTTATCCCCAGAGCTAGGGTGGGGCTTCACTAGCAGCGGTGGCTCTTCCATCCCAAAGATCGGCCCATAGATTTCCATTGCTCTCCTCTCCTCTGCCTTCTGTGCATCCGCGCGTCAGGCACTGGACCCAGCTGTTCCTCCTCTTCCTCATCAGCCACCTCCAGACCTGGGGGCTGTTGACTCTCCATCAACACTCAACAAGTTCATGTTATTCACTTAACAACTGTGGCAGGAAAGGTTGTAAAATGGGGGGAAACCTTCTTAACAACTGTCTCGCTCAGCAACCGAAATTTTGAGCTCCATTGTGATTGTAAATCACAGACTACCTGTGAAACAGGAGGAGGGGTGAGAGAGCGAACCTCAGTTTCCTTATTATAAATTCCAAAAGGGGAAACTGAATTTAGTTGCAACCACAATTGTCTGAGATAAGATGACGAGGCATTTTACATAATGTGGGTTGTGACAATTTTTTTTACGGGATGTTTGCCTGTAAGCGCAGTTTGACAATTTTTGATGTAGCAGGAAACCTTCTTGCAAATCTTTTCCTGCTTTGAGAAAAAGGTTGTGTAGTGATAATTGTGCTTTCTTTTTCTTGCTCTCCTGCTCTAGAATTGTAACAAGAGGAAATTTCCATTGTGTGAAGAATTTGCACAGCTACAAACCACCTTGAATTTCTGGGAAAGTGAATCAATTTGACGACCTTTTCAAGAAAATGCAAAATCTGTGCCAGGTAATAAATGTAAAAATAATATTTCCAATGTAGAGCGAATGAGCAGATGTTTAGGATAATGTTAAGTCTGGGGTACCATTCGCCGGTTGTAGCTAAATTGAGCAGGCATCTTCAGTGGAAATTTATCTTGAAATCGTGGGAGTGACGGCAACATGCAGGGTTGTAGGAATAGAAGAAAATGTTTATAGTTCAGGGTTGAGCTGTGAGGTCCTTGGTGCTCTCTGAGCTGGGTGTTTTTTTTGCAGACATTTCATTACTTCATTAGATACTGAATGCAAATAGCAAACTAGATCCCAAACAAGGAATTATTAACTCAGACAAACAAAGGAACCACCAAGAAAACTCCCACAAACACTGGTATTAGAGGGGCTGCCACAGAGAGGAAGGGGTCAACCTGTTGTCCAAAGCCAGACAAGGAACGATGGATGGAAACTGATCAAGGAGAGATTCAACCTAGAAATAAGGAGAAATTTTCTGACAGTGAGAACAATCAACCCATGGAACAGAAGTTGCCTTCGGAAGTTGAGGGAGCTTCATCACCAGAAGCTTTCAAGAAGAGACTGGACTGCCATCTGTCAGAAATGGTGTAGGGTCTCCTGCTTTCCGGGGTGGGGGTTGGACTAGATGACCTACAAGGTCCCTTCCAACTCTATTAATGTGACTACTAAAGAGACTGGACAGCCACCTGTCTGAGATAGTATAGTGTTGCCTGCTTGAGTAACAGGTTGGACTAGAAGACCTCCAAAGTTCCTTCCAACTCTGTTGTTCTATGATAGCTGAAGTCACTTCTATAAAAACCTTACTCCCTTCTAACACTGATGAGATTACCTAGTAGGGTAATGAAACATCTGCAAGAATGCATCTGCATCTCCCCCTCCCGGTCCTCCTCTTCCTCCTCCTCCTCCTCTCTTGATTAAAGAACATTGAGCAGGGGAATTCTGGGAGTTGAAGTCCATAGATCTTAAAGTTATCGAAGTCAATAACCGTCTTGCTTAGCCATGGGAATTTCGGGCTCCGTTGTGGTCGTAAGTCGAGGACTAGCTGTGTCTGGGAATCTCTGCTAACCTGTTTTCCTTTCTCCGTCCCCCCGGTCTCTAGTGGGCGATTTGGAGAGTCTTGCTCTGGAGTACCCTGACCCATGCTTCCCGGCCCACCTTCGAATGGAAAGACCCCCACACCCAGGAGAAGCTGTTGTGTGAGAAGTGCCCCCCGGGGAAGAGCATGGCCAAACCTTGCACCCTGGACAAACGCACTGAGTGCAAGCCGTGTGCAACTGAGCACTACACCCAGTATTGGAACTACCTGGACAGGTGCTTGTACTGCAGCGTCCGCTGTAGCACCCTGGAGGTGGAGGTGGTGCCGTGCAACAGGACACACAACAGGGTGTGTGAGTGCAAGCCGGGCTACCACGCCGAGTCGCTCTTTTGCATCAAGCACTCCAAGTGCCCGCCAGGAAGCGGAGTGGTTGAGCCCGGTACGTACCGGGGGGGAAGACAGACAGCAACCTGTTCCTTTGGGGGTGCAGGGTGGGGGATGAACTGGAGCAGGCTGGCATCTCTTGGGAGTAGTTTGGAGGGGTGGGAAGGATCCTAAAGAGGATCTGAAGGATCGACCCTTCAGTTTGATGTTTCTCAAGCTCAGCAATTTTGAGATGTATGGGTTCTCCCTCCTTCCTTCCCACCTTCCTTCTTTCTTTCTTTCTTTCTTTCTTTCTTTCTTTCTTCTTTCTTTCTTTCTTTCTTTTTTCTTTCTTTCTTTCTTTCTTTCTTTCTTTCTTTCTTTTTCTTCCCTCCCTCCCTCTCTTTCTTCCTCATCAACCTTCCTCCTCTCCTCTCCTCTCCTCTCCTCTCCTCTCCACTACTCTCCTCTCCTCCTTCCGTTTTCTCTCCTCTCCTCTCCATTCCACTCCTTTCCTCTCCTCTCCACTCTCCTCTTTCCTCTCCTCTCCTCTCCTCTCCTCTCCACTACTCTCCTCTCCTCCTTCCGTTTTCTCTCCTCTCCTCTCCATTCCACTCCTCTCCACTACTCTCCACTCTCCTCTTTCCTCTCCTCTCCTCTCCTCTCCTCTCCACTCATCTCCTTTCCTTACCTCTCCTTTCCTTACTCCTCTCCTCTTTCTTCTCCTCTCCTCTTTCCCTTTTCTTTCCTCTCCTCTCCACTCCTCTCCTCTTCATTCCTTTCCTCTTTCCTCTTTCCTCTCTTCTCCTCTTTCCCTTTTCTCTCCTCTCCTCTTTCCTCTCCCCTCCTCTCCTCCTTCCCTTTTCTCTCCTCTCCACTCCACTCATCTTTCTCCTCTCCTCTCCTTTCCACTCCTTTCCTCTTTTCTCTCCTCTCCTCTTTCCTCTCCCCTCCTTTCCTCCTGCCCTTTTCTCTCCTCTCCTCTTCTTTCCACTCCACTCCTCTCCTCTTCCCTCTCGCCTCCTCTCCTACTTCCCTTTTCTCTCCTTGTCCCTTCCCTTCTTGTCCCTTCCTTTCCTTCCCCTTCTCCCCCCTTTTTAAGGTTTTAGTTTACTATGTTGACATGCATTGATAAAGTCCTCCCCCTCCCGCAAGACAGCAGCCATGGAACGTGGTTGGAGAGAAAGCTAGACCTTTTCTTCTGCTCCCGTTTTTCCAGGCAACCCCCGAGAAGATACCCAGTGCAGTGTCTGCCCAGAGGGGAGCTTTTCCAGCAACCATTCCAGCAAGGATCCCTGCCAGACCCACCAGAACTGCTCCGCGCAAGGCCTTCGGGTCAACGTGCCTGGCACCCTTTTCCACGATGCCTATTGCACCTCCTGCAGGGCTGACAAAGGCTCAGAGGAGGGCTCAGGTAAGACACCCCCCCCCCACCTGAGTCTTACAGGTAGTCCTCAACTTAGAAACACAACTGGGAGCAGAGTTTCCATTGCTAAGCAGGCAGTTCTTAAGTGAGACATGCCCTATACTACAACCCTTTTTTGCCATGGTGGTTAAGCCCATCATTGCAGTTGTTAAGTGAATCACATGGTCATTAAGCAAATCTTTGAGGACCCAGTTTGTGGGGGCAATAAGCTGACTTTGTATAAATATACAAAAGTATGAAGGCTATTGCTTAGCGCATTGTAAGCTGCCCTGAGTCTCCGGAGAAGGGCGGCATATAAATCAAATTAATCCCCCCCCCCCATCGACTTTGCTTGTCAGAAGCTGGCAGGTAAGGTCTCAAATGGAAGGCGAAAAGAATAGGGATGGATCTCACTTCCAGTGGCGAGATGTTCCAGAGGCCAGGGTCCATAGCAGAAAAGGCTCTTCTCCTGAACCCAGCTTGCTGAAATTCCTTGGCTGATCAAGTCCAGAGCGTGATGACATGATACCAATCTTCCAATATTTGCAAGGCTGCCCCAAAGAAGAGGGAGTCAAGCTATTCTCCAAAGCACCTGAAGGCAGGACAAGAAGCAATGGGTGGAAACTAAGCAAGGAGAGAAGCAACCTGGAACTAAGGAGAAATTTCCTGACAGTTAGTGGAACAACTTGCCTCTAGAAAGTGTGGTTGCTCCATCACTGGGGCTTTTCAAGAAGAGGCTGGAACAACTCTCTGGAGTTGTTCTGACCCAACTCCCCAAATACAACAAAGTTCCTCTGAAGTGAACTCAAAGATTCCTTTATTAGGAGCGCCAGCAGCCCTGGCAGAAAGTTTCTCTGTCACCATAGGCTAACAACTCTGTCCAGCAGGGAGATGAATAGTTGTCTGCCACACCTATTCATTTCCGCTCCCTGCCTTTTATCCCCAGAGCTAGGGTGGGGCTTCGCCAGCAGACCGGCCCTTAGATTTCCACTGCTCTCCTCTCCTCTGCCTTCTGTGCATCCGCGTGTCAGGCACTGGACCCAGCTGTTCCTCCTCTTCCTCATCACCTCCAGACCTGGGGGCTGTTGACTCTCCATCTGAGGGCTGACGGACGGCCCAGGCTCCACCTCTTTCTCTCTCTCTGCCAGCTTCATTCCCTCTTCCCTCTCGGAGCTCTCAGGATGCCTTGATGCTGACTCTGACTCCCACGCCTCCTCCTCCTCCTCCTCCTCCTCTGAATCGGCTGTTGGAGAGGCCGGTGGCTGGCAGGCCACAACAGGAGTGATATAGACTCTGCTGCCTTGAGCAGGGGGTTAGACTAGAAGGCCTCCAAGGTCCCTTCCAGTCCTGTGACTCTACGCCCCTTCTGCTACAGCAATGGAACTGGGGCAGGCCAGTTCCATTGGGGTGAGACACTTCCTCAGATCATCTGGTCCTGATCCAGAGATTCTGGTCATAAGCCCTACAGCGGGACAGTGCAGGAGATGGTATTTATTTACTTATGATTTATTTGCATCCCTCCTTTCTTAGTTTTACAAATAACTCGAGGCAGTGAACATATCCAATACATCTTCCTCCTCCTATTTTCCCCACAACAACCCTGTGAGATGAGTTGTGCTGAGAGAGTGGGACTGGCTCTAAATAACCCAGCCAGCTTTCATGCCTCAGGAGAGACTAGAACTCACTTCTCTCCTGGTGATTTGCCCAAAGTCACCTAACCAGCTTTCATGCCTAAGGCTGGACTAGAAGTCACCGTCTCCTGATGATCGGCCCAAAGTCACCCAACCGGCTTTCATGCCTAAGGCGGACTAGAACTCACCATCTCCTGGTGATTTGCCCAAAGTCACCTAACCAGCTTTCATGCCTAAAACTGGACTAGAACTCACTGTCTCCTGATGATCGGCCCAAAATCACCCAACTGGCTTTCATGCCTAAGGCAGGACTAGAACTCACCGTCTCCTGCTTTCATAAGTGGTGCCTTAACCATTAGACCAAACTGACTCTCCCAGCACCTCTTATTCGATGTGTGTTTCTCACCTGTTCTTTCTCTTCTAGGTACGGGAGATTGTCTCGAGGCAGCCCTTGACTTTGTACCCTTCCAACTGAAGTCACCACGAAGGCTCCGGCGTCTGTATCGTAAGCTCACTCAAACTGCTCCTGGGACGGAGAAGAAGAAGCCCATCGAAGAGCTGCAGGTGGACCTTCATAGCTACCTGCTCCAGCTCAAGAACCTGCATGGGAAGGAGGAAGCGTGGGATAAGGTCCAGGTAGCCCTGACGAAGCTGAAGTTGGAACGCATTCTGCAGAACGTCCTGAGGAGGTTCACTGTGGGTTGATGAGGCCACTCGATACGGGGGTTTATTGTATCATAGGTATAAAATGGTTGGTCATGGATTTGTGGACTTGGATCGTTGAGTTAAGGTATTTATATCAGTCTCCCCATCCTCGATTCGGCATTTGATTGATTGGCATTTGATTGGAAGAGAAAGGGCTACGGAAAGGAAGGGTGGCCGGTTCATTCGGCTTCTCTAACGGAGTCTACACAACCCTGCGTAGACCCCATTGGGGAAGCAGAATAGACCCCCTCCATCCTTGGACCACGCAACTGCGTCCCAGAAGGAGCTGCCATTTTGGAGGGGCACAATTCTTAGCAGCTGCTCAGAAAGTGGCGTTCACTTTTGGGACACAACCAGGCGGTCTACGGATGCTGAGTGGCCTTCCCTGCTTCCCCAACACGAGATCTGGAGATCTTCAAAAGATATGACCTTGATGGGGTGACGGGGTGGGGAGAGTGGGTAGGGCCCGCTGGGATGGGAAACAGGTCCAAGGTCTGCAAGGACCCAGCGGGACAGGGTGGGTGGGAGATAGGGAGGGGGGAATGGGTGCTGCCGCATCCCTGGGATCGGTCGTAACGGCGAACAATCCCAAGCCTGCTGTAACTTTGAAACATGGTCACCAATAGCTTTTTTTTGTGCGTTTGGGGGATATCTATCCTAACTTCGAATGGTCACTAAGTGACCCGTCATAAGTGGAGAACTACCTCTCTGCCAATATGTGTTTTTTGGGGAAATGCTGCAAATGTTTTGACCCTGTAGATCAGGGGTGTCAAACTGCCAGGCCGCAGGCCGGATGCGTCACAGGCAGGCCACGCCCACCCCAGCTCCGCGAAGGGGGAAAACGTCGCGATACGTCACGTGACGGCAACGTGACGCCGCGAGTTTGACACCCGTGCTGTAGATCAGTGGCCCCCAACCTTTTTGGGCACCAGGGACCAGTTCCGTGATTTGTCCACGGACCGGAGGGGGCGTGGTTTCATGTGCTGCCTGCATCCTGTGGATGAGACTTTGCTTTTTTGGCCTAGACCGGTTTCTGCCATGCCGCATACCGGTAACCGGTCCCTGGATCAAGAGTTGGGAACCCCTCCATGATCAGGATGGAGGTTGTCAAAGGTTGGGGAAGAACCGAGATCCTGTTGGGTCAACATGCTAACCTGACCCTCCTTTCCGAGGTCATGATTTTAGCCCTATATCTAGGGATTAGATGGAGTGATTGTTTGTGTTTTTAGGAAATGAAGTATTTTTCATTGGTTTGCTTCTAGGACAGGGGTTCCCAACCGGGGAGTGCGAGACCATATTCCAGGGGGTGCAAAAACCTGGGTTCAGAAGTTTCAAACTTGTAGTGTATATACATAATTATGTGCATATAATTATTTACTTTTGTAAGGGGTGCGAGAATGTATCAGAAGTGTTCTAGGGGCACGGGGTATAGAAAAGGTTGGGAACCCCTGTTCTAGGTTTGTTTTTCCAGAATGTGAATTTCTCAGGAGTGGCCAGTCCTCATAGGTGATCTCTGTGAGAGCCAAGAACAGGTAGTCCTCGAGTTACGACTATTTGCTTAGCAACCGGGGGGGCAGACAATTGGTATTTGTGATCTTCCCATAACGTCTGTGTGATTCGCTTAACAACCGCACCCAAAAAGTTTGTAAAATTGGGTGCGGCTCACTTAATGACCCCATAGCTTACTGACAGACGTTGTGATCCCAGTTTGGTCGTAAATTGAGGACTTCCTGTACGGCACCCAGCTCTGAGATGATGATCCTTTCCAAGGGTAGCAGTCACAGGCAGCTAAACAGAGCCGTCACTGTGCGTCTGCGTTTCTGTATTGTACATTCTTCATTGTGTACATGTCTTCATGATTACATTTCTTAGTCTAATCATGGTCTGTTACATTTCAAGCAAAGTGTTGTGGCCGGTCAGCGGCCTGTGCAGATTGTAGCTGATTCTGACAGCGAGGAGGCTGGTGTGGTGCTGCACCAACAGCCTGTGCAGCTGGCACTCGAGTCAGACAATGAGGAGGCTGGAGAAGATGTGCCAGAGGCAGGGATTCAGCCAGGGCCTTCAGAACCTCCAGAAGCTCCCTTAAGTGAAGATGATGAAGAGGAGGAGCGCTTCTCGAGAGTAAGGCTTGGGGCTAATTGGCCACTCCCTTAGCCTATTTAAGGAGGAACGCCGACTGAAGCAATTTGTAGGGAACAACTTTAGTTCACTCTACTTCCCGTCTGGAGTCTCTGCACATTACTTCTCGGGTTTCTGCCAACCTTTGTAAGATTGTGATTACTTTATCTTTGGTTTCTTGTAGGCTGTTCAGAAAGTTTATTAACAGCCTTTGTTTTGAAAAAGACTGAGTTATTTTAGCAAATTAAGTTTTGTACAAACTTTGTGTGTGGCTGTGTTCTTTGGGATCCGTAGCTGGGGCAGAACACAAAGATCGTGCCTCTACTTGAACTACGGTATGTGCCTCCCCACTTTCACACGCAGGAGCCTCGGAGAAGTTATTCTGCTCAACTGCTTTTCCACATTCAGGGAAAGATGACGACAGTTGTGTAGGAAACCAAGGGAGGGGATTGGATGGAGCAAGTGGTTGCTGAGCCACGTTTAAGGTGGTTGGTGGTTTCCAGTTTATGCCGAAGCTCCACTCCCAATGGCTGAAGTCCAGAGCAAGTGATTTGGGGTAAAGTATTGGCAGAAAGTATTTGAGGAATATGGTGTCTGATTTACTCGAGTAAAGTTTCTCAATCTTTAGACGAGAGCCTGCGTAGCTCATTTGTTGAATTGTGGGATCCTTGTGCTCCGGATTTTTCGTCGGGCCCTGAAAACCCATTTATTTCAACTAGCTGGGCTGGCTTGAGTCAAATTTTAAACTGATTTTAAATTGGAATTGTTTTAATCACGGCCAAAAGATTTAATTATTTTAATCAGTTTTTAGATTTTGTATGTTTTGTATGTATGTCTTGTTTTTATTTTCGGCTGTTCACCGCCCTGAGTCCTATATTGGAGAAGGGCGGTATAGAAATTTAAACAAATAAATAAATAAATAAATTTCTGAACTGGGTGGTTTTATTAAGACGCTTCATGAACCAACTAGGTAACATCCCCTGATCTTAGGGCCGGGATGGCGAACCTATGGCACGCGGGGCCAGAGGTGGCACGCAGTGCCCTCTCTGTGGGCACATGTGCCGTCGCCAACTGCTCTTCCCAGTTCCGTCATGCGCATGCGTGCCGGACAGCTGGTCTTCACGCAAAGACCAGCGGGCTGGCATGCATGTGTACGTCGGAACCGGGAAGAGAGCAGCTGGCCATTGTGCGACGGAACCTGGAAGAGCAGCTGGCCGCCGCATGTATGCGCACCAGCCAGCTGCTCCCTTCCAGGTTCCGGTGCTCAGGCACATGCTCCAGATTCAGCACTCGGTGTCGAAAAGGTTAACCATCACCGTCTTGGGGGCTCCATCACACTTCTTTGGAGGGTCCCAGCAGCACTCAACAAATTCAGGGGGGAAGAATCAACGGGGTGGACTTGAGGGAAGATGGGGTGAGGTGGAGGAGAACGGATGGGCCTTCTTGGCACCTCATGGGGTTGCTGGGTCTCACCAAAAGCTCCTTATCCTTGGTTATTCGTGAAGGGCCACTCTTGTTCTCCCTACGTTTCATTTTCATTTTTCATTTTATTAAATTTGTATACCGCCCTACTCCCGAAGGACTCAGGGCGGTGAACAGCCATAAAATAAAACAGATAGATACAAAATTTAAAATAGAGATAAAACTAATTAAATAAATTTGGCTGAACCAATTTTAAAACCCCAATAAATTAAAACCAAATTTAAAATTTCCATTTAAAAAGAGGAAAAATTTAGGTCAGGCCGGCTTGATGAAATAGGAACGTCTTAAGCGCGCGACGGAAGGTGCACAGATCTGGGATCCTCGGTATCTCCGGGGGGAGCTCGTTCCAGATCGTAGGTGCCCCCACAGAGAAGGTCCTCCCCCTGGGGGCCGCCAGTCGACATTGTTTGGCCGACGGCACCCGGAGGAGCCCCTCTCTATGGGAGCGTACTGGTCGTTGACTGCAAGAAAATGTCTTCCTGCACTGAAAGTTGTTCCTTCTGCCTAATGTGTGTTTTGTTTGTAAAATTATTTAGGACAGGTAGTCCTCGACTTACAACCGTTCATTTAGTGACTGTTCCAAGTGACAACGGCACTTGGGGAGATGCTCATTTTAACAACTGTCTCATTTAGCAACAGAAATTTTGGGCTCAACTTTGGTCAAGGGCTACCTTACCTTTGTTTTGAGTGACTTTGTAAATTCACTTTGTTACCAGTTGTACTCACAGCCTCAAAGACCCATGTAGATCTACAAAGAGTAGATTTTAGAACATAGATTTTATTTTTCTTAGATTTATATTTTTTTAAATCTTTATACATTTAAGGAGACGTCACTGAAATGTTAATAAATACACTGCCTCCAGCTGTTTAAATCTTCTCTTGTTGTAAAGCGTCTTAGCTATTGCTTGTCCTAATTCATCCTTCTGCCCCCCCCAAATAACCCCTTAAAATGGCTGGGGAATTCTGGGAGTTGAAGTCCGAACATCTTACCTTTGCCTCTTTATTCCAGACCATTCTATCTGGGGTCAAAATAGCCACTGCCAAGAATCCTTCTCTTTCTTTGCCTGCATTTACCAAAATGTTCTGAACGACACCATATTGAGAAGATTTATTCTCATGAATATTCCTTCTTCATAATTCTTATGAAAAATATATTGCTTCCTTCCTGAGCTACCTTTGTTCCCGTTAATATTTTATCGTTTCAATATTTGATGTTTTCTATTGTTATTATTATTGTGGTGTGAGCCGCCTAGTCTCTCTCGATGGACGGCCTATAAATTGAATAAATAAAGAAAACTCCCTCACCTCGTTGTCGATAAGAATACAGTGGCGCCATGAGGACTACCCTGTTTCCCCGAAAATAAGACCCTGTCTTATATTTTTTTGAACCC